CATATATCTCAATCTTAATCTTTATCATTGATAAATCACATGTCGGTATGCAGGTCTTTCGGTTATCTCCTCTTAGGAGAAACTAGGTCAAAGCTAGTCCCCATTTTTGAATAATCAGGTAGCGACTTTTATGTCCTTGTTATGGGACGAACGCATTATCATGTAAAATCGCAAATTGTAACGCGACAGCAGTGGGCCAACTTGCTATCAGAAGTTAACACGATAACAATGGGCCTCTATTCTTCTCGGGCGAAGCAGTATGGCACTGATTTTACTTTTTGTGGTTCTTACAAGGTAAAAAAAAACACATTAAAACGTACACGCGAGGAGTCGGTCGTTTTGCACCTTGTCGACAATCACATGCGGAGCATGCAATTGAAAGCAAACGACAAAAATCGCTGATCAAGACCGATCGTGTGCCTGCATGTTTAATCCTGTCGGGGACGTGATAATCTTGTCGTAGAAGCACGTGAAATTTTACTCAAGACTTTTCTCGGTTTTCCACCGTTTGATGGTCTTTGGATCTAAATTGTAAACGTGTAAAAAAAAAGGAAAGAATAATTAGATTTAAAAGGTCTGATGACATGACCACTCTTGCAACCAACGTTAAGAATTAAAACATGTCGGTTAGCCCGTTTAAAATCTCATTTGTCAGTCATTTGTTTCTTGAATGTTTTCACTCTTTTTTATCAAATAGTGCAAAATATCTAATCTTTAAAAAATCATACCACTGTATCAAGGCTATCAAAACCAGGTTATAAACCAAGTGATAAGCCTGCTCCATATTCATTATTTAACCTTCATCAATATGTATCATTTGATAATATGGTAATTTCCACATGCGTCAATCAAAAACAATGTTACGAGACAAAGTTTGATGATATAATTATTTAGTACAGACATCATATTAATTAGATTTATCTTACTGTATAATATACTAACTAAATGATTTACTACAGACATCATATTTATTAAGTTTATCTCACTGTATAATATACTAACTAAATGATTTACTACAGACATCATATTAATTAGGTTTATCTTACTGTATAATATACTAACTAAATGATTTACTACAGACATCATATTAATTAGGTTTATCTTACTGTATAATATACTAACTAAATGATTTACTACAGACATCATATTTATTAAGTTTATCTTACTGTATAATATACTAACTAAATGATTTACTACAGACATCATATTTATTAAGTTTATCTTACTGTATAATATACTAACTAAATGATTTACTACAGACATCATATTTATTAAGTTTATCTTACTGGTATAATATACTAACTAAATGATTTACTACAGACATCATATTTATTAGGATTTTCTTACTGTATAATATACTTACTAAATGATTTACTACAGACATCATATTAATTAGGTTTAACTTACTGTATAATATACTTACTAAATGATTTACTACAGACATCATATTAATTAGGTTTATCTTACTGTATAATATACTTACTAATTGATTTACTACAGACATCATATTTATTAGGTTTATCTTACTGTATATTATACTTACTAAATGATTTACTGCAGACATCATATTAATTAGGTTTATATTACTGTATAATATACTAACTAAATGATTCACTACAGACATCATATTTATTAGGTTTCTTTTACTGTATAATATACTTACTAAATGATTTACTACAGACATCATATTTATTAGGTATATCTTACTGTATATTATACTAACTAAATGATTTACTACAGACATCATATTTATTAGGTTTATCTTACTGTATATTATACTTACTAAATGATTTACTACAGACATCATATTTATTAGGTTTATCTTACTGTATAATATACTTACTAAATGATTTACTACAGACATCATATTTATTAGGTTTATCTTACTGTATATTATACTTACTAAATGATTTACTACAGACATCATATTTATTAGGTTTATCTTACTGTATATTATACTTACTAAATGATTTACTACAGACATCATATTTATTAGGTTTATCTTACTGTATAATATACTAACTAAATGATTTACTACAGACATCATATTAATTAGGTTTATCTTACTGTATAATATACTTACTAAATGATTTACTACAGACATCATATTAATTAGGTATATCTTACTGTATAATATACTTACTAAATGATTTACTACAGACATCATATTTATTAGGTTTATCTTACTGTATAATATACTTACTAAATGATTTACTACAGACATCATATTTATTATGTTTATCTTACTGTATATTATACTAACTAAATGATTTACTGCAGACATCATATTAATTAGGTTTATCTTACTGTATAATGTACTTACTAAATGATTTACTACAGACATCATATTTATTAGGTTTATCTTACTGTATAATATACTTACTAAATGATTTACTACAGACATCTTATTAATTAGGTTTATCTTGCTGTATAATATACTTACTAAATGATTTACTACAGACATCTTATTAATTAAGTTTATCTTGCTGTATAATATACTTACTAAATGATTCACTACAGACATCATATTAATTAGGTTTATCTTAATGTATATTATACTAACTAAATGATTTACTACAGACATCATATTTATTAGGTTTATATTACTGTATAATATACTAACTAAATGATTTACTACAGACATCATATTTATTAGGTTTATCTTACTGTATCATATACTTACTAAATGATTTACTACAGACATCATATTAATTAGGTTTATCTTACTGTATAATATACTAACTAAATGATTTACTACAGACATCATATTAATTAGGTTTATCTTACTGTATAATATACTTACTAAATGATTTACTACAGACATCATATTAATTAGGTTTATCTTACTGCATAATAATATACTTACTAAATGATTTACTACAGACATCATATTTATTAGGTTTATCTTACTGTGTAATTTACTTACTAAATGATTTACTACAGACATCATATTAATTAGGTTTATATTACTGTATAATATACTAACTAAATGATTTACTACAGACATCATATTTATTAGGTTTATCTTACTGTATCATATACTTACTAAATGATTTACTACAGACATCATATTTATTAGGTTTATCTTACTGTATAATATACTTACTAAATGATTTACTACAGACATCATATTTATTAGGTTTATCTTACTGTATAATATACTAACTAAATGATTTACTATAGACATCATATTAATTAGGTTTATCTTACTGTATGATATACTTACTAAATGATTTACTATAGACATCATATTTATTAGGTTTATCTTACTGTATCATATACTTACTAAATGATTTACTACAGACATCATATTAATTAGGTTTATCTTACTGTATGATATACTTACTAAATGATTTACTACAGACATCATATTTATTAGGTTTATCTTACTGTATCATATTTATGATTATTGTGATAATAAGTGAAAGTCATTGAACTATGTACCATTGGACCGATGTTATTCAACAATTTATAATTTGGTTTTTGGAGTTTTACGTCTTACTTATATGCGCCTTATTAGGCTGAGGAAAACGGCTTGCAGTGTGCAATGAAGGAAACATTGCAAGCACAATAGAATAACTCTACTCATTTTTTGATTCCAGGGCCCTTTAAAGTTCGCAATTGTAGCATTCGAAAGACAGGACGGTTTTTTTTTCACGCCAGCCCCTCCCATCTGCATCGCTAATAGTGGAGTTGAAAAATATGAACTTATTCTCGACATTCGTTAACGACAGCATCAAGCTTAATAATACAACTTCGTCATTAGAAAGGGAACCTCAACAAAACTGAAAAGACAAAATGTATGTACGATTGCCACGTTGATAAGGCATGGAATAAAATGATCCCTAAAATATATAATTACGTGAGGGAGAATACAGAACAGATAACCGTAATTTAAAATTTTGCGATCAAAGGTTCTAGTCGAGTATTGTCCATGATAATTATAATGATAAACCATATAAGGATTGGAGGTCGTGAGATAAAGAAAAATATCACGTGAAAGGGGCGGTATATTAGTATGAACTCTAAAGTCCGCCCTAGAATTCTAATGTTATATATGCGTGTAGATCCAGTATTATACTAGAGTCTACAGTTACGCCGTCAGTGTATGAGCTACTGTTTTCCCGAAAATCTTACAAAGTTTTAATCATAACTCGCATTTTTTTTAAACCAAGAAAATAATCAAAAATGAAAGCTTTATTGGTATTAGTTGCTATTGTGGTAGCTGTAGTTGCAGGCGAAGAGGAACACGGTAAGGGCTTGTAATAATTTTCAATTTTCACATTCAACTATGAACAATCATGGCCGCCATTGAAAGCATTATTCAGTCTTTTAGGAGTTTTTAATGAATTTCTCTACTGTCTGTGGTAACAGGATAGTTAAATACTTTCCAAATGACCAAATCGATACGAAGGAATTTCAAATTTTACTGCAAGAAACTGATGTTTGTTATAAGTCGTAATAAAAAGTTGAGATGAAAAGGGGGGCGTGTCTGTGATGTTTACTTCTGGAATCGGGTCAAGACTTGACCTGGATTCTGATTTGATAGTTCTTAAACCAACTGGTGCCAATCGTGTGTATTTATAACCGGGTGTTATGGCGGTTGGCAGAAAATTTACCAATGTTTGTAGGAAGGTTACTTAACGATGACCAAAAACTGAACCCGTTCAGGCAAACCGTTCAGGCAACGATAATCAAAAATACTCAAGCAGCAATGGTCAAAATATTCAACCGAAACCCCTTAAATATTATCCTGCCCCTTTCAAGCTATGAATTTCCTCTAAAAACATACTTGTATATAAATGTATATTTAAAACCTTTAGATTAGAATTTTTAAAGGCAGCAATGGACAAAATTACCCAACCCTTTTTAAACGTACATAACATTTGTTACAGAACAAATTAAAATACCACCATACATTGGATTGTACCTTAGTTCCTCTTAATTCAGTAAAAGAGTTAGAATTTCAGACTTAAGGAAAATGAAAGCGAGTTTTCATAAAATTTATAAATGCACTATTTGGTTTTGATTTTAGTTCATGATAAATGTCAAGTGTTTGAAAGGAGGTATATTAGTCAGAGTTTCCGGTATACCATGACCGTCATTCTATATGTACCAAGTAATTTGATTATGTAACTGTAAATAAACCATACAGATAACATAACTAGACTGTTACATAAAAGATAAGACAAATGCATAAATAGACCATTGCAAAAACGCATATATAAGAGTATTTCACATTGATATTCTCTAGCAAGATAAATAACATTGTTTTCCTGATGGCAATTCAGATTGCTCAGATCTTTGTAACCATCATGAAAACTTTAAACTTAATAATTGGAAAATGATACATAGTCCTGTTGGTTATAGGCCTAGTAAGGAAATAAAGTGCCAAGCCTATTTGTCAGTTTCTTGACAGAAATGTTAATCCCTTGTTTTAAGCGAGAATTCTCACAGGAAATAAAGGTATAAATTCTATTGTAGGATATGTTTCCATGATTCGTCAGAATTATGAAATGAAGGTCAACAACCACCTCCGTCGTCAGGTCACCCTGGAATTGATGGCTTCTTACCTTTACCAAGCCTATGTACGTATTTCATTACTCACGTCGACATGTCAACTTGAGATTTGTAGAGATCACAAGAATAGAAGAGTACTCTGTTAGATTTTTGGGAGGGGAACAATGCAGCAACAAGCAAAGCAATTCCAGTCGAAGGCATGACAAAATCGGGAGCAATAATTGTATTGTAGTGGACTCCTCAAACAAGAAGTACCGCCAGTTGTTTGCAATGCTTTTTTCTGGCAAACAAAAAATATCTATTCGCGTAAAAAGAAAAATCTTTATCATTCAAAGAATACTTTAGCAACTGTTGACAAGCTTTTTAACTGTTGAATTTGCTATGAATCTTTTAGATCACTGCATGCAAACGTTTGCTTTATGGTGTCCTTTGCCAAAGAAAATGAAATTGCCCTCCCAGTAGAGAATAAAATTGTATAAAATTGTCGCACTAACTGACATTTTGCCTTTTTACTGGAAATTCTAGATTTTCTCTAGTTTCTTTTCATAGGCACCAGATTCTAGTAACGAAAAATCAAACCTCTTATATCTAAATATTTACTAAAAAGGCATGATTTTATTTTTGCCAGAACCTGGTGCCTGTGTTTCTTTTGCATTAAAACTTCTCATCCTTTGCCCTATAACAATCTTACAACTCTTTCTTCAGGGAAGTTTCTTCGACCGAGCTGATATTGCCTTACCCGGAGTAAAGAAATTCTTCGAAAGTTCATCTAAAGAAGAACGAGATCATGCCGACGGTTTGGTTGAATACATCAACAAGCGAGGTGGAAACATGCAATTCGAGGATGTTAAAGTAAGTTATTTATCAGGCGTCATTTTCAGAGAGTCCATTAACATATTAGAAAACAATCACCATACTTTCGTGAAAATAGGGAGAGGCTTCTATAGAAGTTTGGTTCTTTTCATTTTATTGGAATTACCGAGCCTAATCTAGCCAGAGTTTGGGTCAAAGATCGCTCAAGGGTTGGGAAGGTAAAAAAGTTTGATATTGCCTCTGCCCTTCTCATTGCTAACATTAGTATAGCCTATTCTGAAACAAAGAGAGGATGGCGTAAAATTAATTTAATTATCCTTTTATTTTGTCCGAAAATTACCGGCAACAATACCGAAACGCCCTAGCCCTGTTCCATCCCATCCCATCCTTTGATGCCACCCGTCCCTTACGTCTATAAATAGCAAAACATCAGATCCTGTTTCCATATAACGATATGTCTAAATATAAATCTATTGTAGCTGATCGATGCCTGCAATACTTTAAGCAAAGAAATGAAGAAGGAAGATTTACTATCCGGTCGACAAGAAACTTGCGTAAGTATCTTCTTCTTGTACCTTCACAACTTTCGGTATAATTTTATGTACAATACCAATGGCCTCTTCGGGCAACCAAAGAGATCACTTCCAGTTTAAATACAACCCCAATAACCTTACCGACCCCTACTGGTTGACGTAAACACATGGCTTCTTCCGGTAACATCTTATCCATTACTTCCGGTTTAAGTACAGCACCAATGGCTTTTTCCGGTAACATCTAACCCACTACTTCCTGGTGGAGATGAACATAACAGCCATATCTGATTAACATCATACAATTAATTGTTCGTTTCAACATCGTACGAAACTTCATTTAAACACACACACCCTCACCTTCACACACAAAATTAAAATATAAGATTTTTTCAGCGATTTTCAAAGATGTTCCATTGCCATGAAATTTGGTTACAAGAAGAAATCTTTTATATATTATCCATTTTTATGATGGTCTGATACAGAATACAGAATGTTTCGGATTATTGACAAATGGGCGGTATGACTAAAGTCCAATATTTTTAATTTATTAGTGTTTCCGTTACAGAATCAAGTTAACAATGATAACCTGTTTGTTTTCATAATTAGAACGTAGTTGAACTTTTCTATCGCGGAGACATTAGAGATACAGTCATGACATGTTATGAAGCAATGCAGAAGTCAATATGAACGCACAATTAAACCCATTTAACAATCAGCTGAAAGATTGAAATAGGCTGCACGGATTTTGATGTATATAATCAGACAGCCACTATCCATAAACGTATCGTTCAGTTTCGAAATTAGCACGCGATACGGTTAATGGCATTGTTCTGTAGCAAAACAAAGCCTCAATGTAACAGAACAGTGTCCCAACACGACAGATGGAGAGTAGAGTCACCCGCATTACAAATGTAACTGAAATAAAAGTATATCTACCAAAAATATCTCACAAAACGAATGATCTGATTTAGGTTTAAAAGGGGCATTCCACTAAATGTTTTTGCTCAAATTAAAACGATACACCAAAATCATAAAAAGTCTGCCCTTTAAAGTTTCTGAAAAAAAAATCCAGCCGTTAATTTTAAAATGCCAAAATTAAAAACATTACGTTATGCTTTTTTGAAGCTGTTAGATAACTAATGTACAGATTTGAGTAAAATAAACGCCTAATTGTTGGAAAATACATAAGGTTTCAGCTAATAATATAGCCATTATTAAGCCAAAACCATGTCAAACTGCTTAATTAACAATTAGTACTCTCCATTTTTAATTAACCCTTTTAAAATGAATTAAGTTTGATCAAGAAGATACATAGACATAAATAGCATACTTTAGAAATATTTTCAGGTACGACCTTTTTAGATCAAGAAAATCTTTTACAAAAAAGCGGGAAACCTCTTTAAACAGATTTGAACTACTTGGTCATCTTTAGTTACCTTCAGAATTTTAAACCGATTCTTTCTGTTTTCCAGATCTGCTTCTTCATGTCCCAGAAGAGAGAAGAAAATAAGAAACGAGGAGATGCCACTTGCTCCGTAAGTTATATTTAATTTCGTCTCTATTCATATTAACTCAATGGATCTGTCACTGTCGCCTGAGCGAAGCGCTTATCTGAAATTGAGAAATTTGTTGATGGCTGATCGAAGGAAGGTCGCAAAAATGAAATGAAATGAATGGAGTTTTACGTCCTACTTTTCTGCACCATGTGGGCTAATGAAGACGGGCAACGCCATGCAGGGTGCAGTGAGGGAAATTTTGCCAGGACAGTGGCATAAGCCTGCTCTTTTTCGATTTCCAACAGTCAAGGGATCTTTAACGTGCACAGCCTGTAGCACACGCGGCCTCGGTTTATTGTCCCCTCCGAACGACTAGACGCTTTTTTCATGTCAGCCCCTCTTACCTGCTTCACTGACAGGGGGAAACCGGGTTGAAAGAAGGAAAGTTGCAGAGTCTTGACAGATTTCCGTAGATGATCAAAAGGCAACTGTGATTTTACTGTCGTCGATACGACCAGCTCGATTAAATTCAAATTGATCAGATTTTCACAAATACCTTTCTTTGTTTAACTACAAGGTCCTTTTTGATAACCTTTAATTTCAATTGAATTGTGCATACAGGCCTCAATGAATTTACCGTAATACGACATGGTATTAACTAAAGAATAAGAAACGTTAATAAGCCCTTATTCATTTCATTTATCCATTTTATTTCATCTCCAGAGCGCAGTTGAAGATTGGAAACACGCCCTCATTGCTATGGAAGATACCCTCGTGATTGAGAAATACGTGAATTCCGAGTTATTGAACATTCACAAACTCGCCTCCAACAACAACGATCCTCATGTAAGTTGAGAATAAGCTAGCACCTTTAAATAGAATTATCTTACTTACCATTTGCTTAAACTGCAGTTTGAGATGTTAACACTTAAAAAGATTACACTGTGGATATACTAACTAATGCAAAGAAAAAAAAAACAAAAAACAAAAAAACAGACTACCAAGGATCTCTTGATCTTAGTTAAATATCTCACGTTTCCAATATACCATTCAAGTGGGGTCTTTGAATAAGAGAATCAATCGTTATTTCGAATTATGGTCTCGCTCGCAAGAAACATGCATCAAAAATCGAAAATGCACATGTTTATTTCTATTTTAGCTTACCAACTTCCTTGAAGATAAATACTTAGATGAACAAGTTGAAGCCATCAAGAAACTGGGAGAGTACATCACCCAACTCCGCCGCTTCAAGAACGACTATAAACTCGGGGAATATATCTTTGACCAACGTCTGAGCTAGACACATTGTATTTCTATTCTACCAACTATTTAAATGGTAAACATTAACGACGCCTAATTAGTAACAAGTTCCACAACTCTGGCCCTACCTCAGTTCCTCCGACGTGATATTCGGATGGGACATCGAATCTATTCGAAACTATCCGAATATCGCGTCGGAAGAACTGGGTAAGGCCAGATATTTGTCGGGCTAAGTGGTAACATACGCGTCATGAATGACTCTTATTTTGGTTACGAAATAGAGTCATGATTGCAATTTGGTTACGAATTTGGCATCTTAATGGTTACGATTTAAATGTGTTTTCCAAGATATATACTCATTATGTAGATGTAGTTTTTTATTGTTGAAATGTATGTTATCTGAGTGAGAAAACCAAAAAGTGAATAAATGAGAAAAAAAGCAAATTTTTTTTTTTTTTCACTACGAACACGTAGCACTATTAATATTTAAATCTTATACCGCGAATAGTAACCCCAGAATAATTTGGTGGGAGCAAGGAACTTTTGGTGGTTGTAGGCCTAGTTCAGCGAGGATAGCAAAAGAAAAATATTGCTTAACTGCTGCCCTCAAACGCATAGATTTGGAAGCTCCCCGACAGCTTCCTCACCTCATACTTATTAAGACAACATGGTAGCATGGAAAAATGACAATGAAATGAATGGAGTTTTACGTCCTACTTATGCTAGCATGGAAGAACAATAATTCCTGTTATACATTCCAAGAAGCTCTGATCCTTAAAAAGACAGTATGCAAAATTTTCAATCTCAAAAAACGTCGCAAATTAAACCTGAAAATGTTTCCACAATTCCTTTTTACATCTACGTATATCTACTTGATAACTTCTAAAAGTACACAACACAGGTTAAAAAACCTAATGGTTTTTGCTTCAAATTGACGACAGGACATTTTTAGCTAAAACTTTCAGGGAAGTCTAGTGACACGTTTCTCTAATTTTGGTATATAGTTTTTATAAATTTGAGCAAAAATAAAATCTTCTTTTTAACGAAGATACCCGATGATTCTGATAACAAATCTGGGGGGAGAAGACAATTTTCGTTTACAGTAAAGATAGGGTTTCAAGTTCCCAGACTATCTGATTTAAGGCTTTAACTTCTGCTCTACGTATATGGCGCATGAAAAACTACTTCACTTGCTCAACCACTGTGACGACTGATGCCATTTTTATACAGTGTTCCATAGACTCAAATCAAGACTCCGCTCACTGGAGCAGAGTTGTTTTGTTGTGTGGTGTGCATACAGCTTACTTTGTTTCAAAGAAGAATACAGATCATAAAATTGGAAAGATTGGGAAATTGGGATGAAACTTATAGGCAGCATGCTTCACTCGGCGTCAGACGAACAATATTAGCTACATTAAAGGTGCGGGCATAGGAAAGGTTTTGGTCGGAGACTTTTGTCGCCGATTAGAGTCTTGTCTTGAGTTTCAACGACGTGAAAACACAAAGGAAAAGGAATCTGATTGGATGATAAAATTATCAAACTTGTTAGTTATTATAAACCCTGTCGGCAACACTATAATCTTGTCGTGGAAGCACGGCACAAGCGTGATTTTACTCAAGATTAGAATATATTCTATTTTCACTTCCAAAATGGTGTTAGATGTATTCCCCGGCTTAGAAATTTTTCAGGAGAGGAGATGCCATCAGACCACCCACAAGTGCCCTCTAAAGTCTCCAAAGGTATGACGGGGCGCTCGGATGCCCCCCTCCCATGTCAATGAAATCCCATCTAAGCCACTGAAAACATTTTTCAAATACACCAAATTAGATCATGAAATAACAAAAGTCAGCTGAAGATTGTAAAAATTGTAAGCAGTTTGCGAAGGGACTTATTGTTGTTATATCAGCTTATTGATATGTTTAGTATTATTGCTTAAACTTTTTAGACTTTAATGTCCTGAGATTTTGGGGAAACGACAACTGATATTCAAATCTTCTCGCTGGCATGATGCGATATGGATTTATCTTACATATTTTATCTATTTATGACGAGTGTGATAGCATATATTTTAAAGTCTGATTCATTCTTGATACTTTTCCCCAGTATATAGGACAATTAGATAAAACGCGTGGTCTGTTTTTTTTGGGGTTTTTTTTTGCTGATCAATTATCAATTGTATTGTCGCACAAAGATATGAAAAAAAAAACATGCTATTCTGAGACTCCTTCAGTGGTCACCAGTCATGTAAAATGCCAATAAAATCCTCAACTGTATGCCTGTTAGTCACATTATTTTTCGATCGATCGATCAAATTGATCATTGATCTGCCATGTGTGAAGCTTTAAAATCTTCCTATGAATCATTAGCCTATTGTTCGACTTACAAGTAGAAATCAGCTTTTGAAAAGTGACACATCACTAAATTTGGCAGATAATTTAGTTCGCGAAACATTTTATTGAACAATTTGAAAGTAGACATTAATTTATTTTGATCTACCTAAACTATCCAATACTACACGTAATACATCGTCAGTTGGTCAAATTTCTGAAAACTGGAGTAGGAATCACGTCAGTCCGAAACATCTGCCTCTAATCCAGCCTCTGATAGCTATTGAAAATTGTCGGCTGTCAAAATAGCTGGATTAGAGGCATATATTCCAGACTAGTATAACAATTGCGTTGAAATTAAGCGGTTAGAGGGCGAAGACAAATCGTTAAGTTCTATCTGTAACGGTTTGAGGGAATCTATTCAGAATATTAATTGGACTGACTAGATAAAATAAAGATAACTTTCGATAACTTTCTATTTAATATGCATCAGCAGATAACCTATAATCCTGTTTTTATTTGGTAACACTGGTTTTTAGATCAAGGACAACCAATCAAATAATACCAGACAAAACCATTGTCTAATATATATTTTTGTAAAGAGACCTCGATATCCGCAAGCTTGTTTTACAGAGAACGAAGAAAGACCTATTTCTTTAAGATGCTAGTCGACCGGATTCATATCAAGTATTTTAAATGACTTAGTCACTTTCCTACTCATGATTACTTATAGTTTCAAGTTTCATCTTATCTTAACACTGCACAAAGTTCGTTATAATTTCAGCATGAGTCATATCATACTATAGTATCATATCTCAATAGATAGATTGTTATATTATAACAAGGAGACAATATTCGGGATTGGAGAAAGCGATGGCATATAAAATTCAAGAATCACAAATGTCGGAATGGTGCAAAAAGAAGTAGAATTGTCTCAAGTATATATAAATAGGCAAAGATATCTGCTTGAATCCTTGACAGTCACATTAGTGACCTTCCAGTCCTTTCTGAAATGCTGTTAGGTCGAAATTTCCTTATCTTTATACATGGATCTTATATCTAACTTTCAAAATAGCTTTATTGGTTTCGAAAAAGCATTAGTCTATCCTTACAAAGAAAGTTTAACTTATTTCAAGATGTTTATCAATTTGATATGAGACAAATGGCGACCTCCAAGTCAAGGCCAAGTGGATTGTTTCTGATACAAAGTTCAACCGACCAATCTTACTGAAACTGATATATATATATATATATATTAATGTATCAGATTTGCGACAGAAAACTTAATACAATGAATTGGAGCACAGGGGTATCCGTCTAGCAGATACTTGGCCAAGTCATAATGGCGACTTTTGACTCAAGGTCGGATTTCTTAAAACCTGATATATAATTTCAGCGAAACTTGCATTGATATCATTTGTTGAAAATTTTGGGACGAACACTTAATTCTTTAAATGAATTGGTGCACAGGGGCATCCGTCTAAAAGACACTTGATGAAGTTAAAATGGCTACCCTTTAATCAAGGCCGAGTTATCTTGTTGTGATATACAGTATGATACCAGATAACAGATTGTAGTAGATAAATTATATAAAATAAGATTTAGTTTGATTTAGTTCGCTGTTTAGATTACAGCAATTAAATTAATATGTCGTATAAAATCGCCGTTTTCGTCGCTGTGTGTTCCTTGTTGCTGGTAATTCCCTCATTAACGAGGAAAAACCAGGATGGTGATCCTTACTGGGATGAGTCGGATGAAGATTGGTTTCAAGGGGACGACCCTAATGCTGGTACAGACGCTGTCGTAGAATCGGACATAGACACTGGTGCAGATGCAGGCGTAGACACTAGTAAGGATGGGAAAGATGCGGGTGGAGATAAGGATACAACCAGCAAGCAGGGTAAGTTAAATGGTTGTTAAGACAACGCCTTGGCAAATTCGCGTAGGAACACTTGTTAAAATAGTCTACTTGTATAAAGATCTATACTATTTAAACTTCAGTAGGGGCACGGACTAAAATAGGTCAGTTTTCTGAAGATCTCTACTTGTCGAACGTCATTAGGAATACAGACCAAAATAGTCTGTCAAATCTATACTATTCAAACTTCAGTAGGGACACAGACTAAAATAGTATTGTTGCCCGAAGATCACTACTTGTCAAACTTTAGAAGGGAGAGAGGCTGAAATAGTTCAGTTGTCTGAAGATCTCAACTAGTCAAACGTTATTAGGAATACAGACTGTAATAACTCGGATCATTGCTGACTGATCTTTATTTTACTCATAATGATTAATCCTACTAAGATACATAATAGCAATATTCTTTCTTTCAGATACCCTTCTTAACACGAATGGAGCCGCCTTTATTAAACATAAGTTCCATTACAACAGTATCATGCAACTCAATGGTCGAATCAATGATTCCCTGTGCTCAAGCTACACCTATCTTACTCTGGTAAGTGTTCTGAATCATTACACGGGAGAGTGGGGTATGGGAGGTAGACTGCTCCATCTTCTCTTCAACACGTCTGTGTTGGCCAAGAAATTCTACGATGTCTACTAACCGTTAGATCGCCAAGTTGAAAGTGAAATTGAAGAAGAACTGGATAAAACCAACGACGAAAAGGCAGAAATATAATGTAAGACTTCTGAAGGACCCAACGATTAAGACGATTTCATGTTGTCCATCTCAAACAAATACCAATAGCTACAAGAATTACTTGAAGACGGGACTGATCTGGAGACTGTAAGCTAACAAACAAGTGAAGCACAGGAGCAGATAAGCGGAAGTATGTTGACAACCTGGCAGAAGAAGCAGAGGAAGCAGCATCAAGTAACAACAAGAAGTAGCTGTATGACACCACCAGAAAACTGTCGGGAAGTACACCAGACCACCGATCAAGGACAATGAAGGAAAAGCTATTCAGGAAGAAGACAAACAACTTAACAGGAGGGCAGAGTAGAGCCTCTGAACAGACCCGCTCCTCCGAACCCGGAAAGGTCTTCAACAGGATCATTCCAAAGAATGAAACGTGTAGATTATCCTTCCCTCCGAGACCAGAACAGATATTGAATCGATCAGATTGTCACATTGGTCATCATTGTTACACAGCCTTTAAAATTCAACTCATAGCTGTACATCAACTTCGTCGATTTTGAGAAAGCGTTTGACAGTGTTGACCGCCATTATGGAGTACCAACTTAATTGGTCAACTTGATCAAAAACGAAGGAATGACCTGCCGAGTGATCCACGGTGGACAGCTTACAGAAAGGCTCAACAAAATTCAATATCATTCGAACAGGTTATAGGGGGTAACTTCACCCTAAATAGTAACCTCTAACAAGCACTATGCTCCATTGATAGTCTTTGATTGCCTTAAATTGCACAGCTAATTGATTAACGTTATATATAGAGTATCATTGTCCTACTTCTAACATATCAAGAAGGTGTTGTTAACAATGACTCGCATACACATGACAAATCAATCTGTTTATATCATTACTTCCAGGCCTTCTTCTTCGACCGAGCAGACGTTGCTCTTCCAGGATTCCACAAGTTTCTGATGGAAGCTTCCAACAAAGAGAAGGAAAACGCCATTAAACTGATGAAATATATGAACAAACGAGGTGGATGGTTTAAACTCAGGAGAATTGTAAGTAATAAGATAAAATGAAATGGAGATGGCTTGCGATTTTTAAGTTGGTACAAGCAAACAGACTTGGTACTGTACAGCACAATGGACGCTTACGGCCGGACCTAATGCCCATTCCTTTGGTCTGTATCTGTCAATGTTTGTATTTGTTTAAATTCATATTATGTGGTGTGATTTTATTGCTCTTATCATTTCACCTCTGGCATTACAAATAAAAAAATGTCTTTTGACAGCTTAGAAAGTGAGCTTTTTCAGGCGAGTGTTCCACTCTAAGATTTCTCCAGGTATTATTATTTTCTGCTTACATTAGGTAGCCGAAGAAAGAGAATGGAAGAACGGTCTTGATGTTCTGAAGTTTATGCTCGAACATGAGAAATTTATGAACGCTAACTTCCTGTACACGCATCAGGTCGCTAACTCAGTCGGTGACGGGCATGTAAGTAACTTTTATTTCCATTTAAACATATATTGATATTGTCTGATAATTGTATAGCGTGAAACTCTTGAGAGACAACATGATTCATGTCCTGTTTTAATATTTCTAGCAAAAGCACAGGCCGGGGATAAAATTCAGTATATCACAAAATATATGTAAAAGAATAAGTTCAATGAGTTTAGCTTACTATGTCTGTCCCTTGACTTGTTCTCTAGTAAAGACTTTTGATTTCTATATTGCAAGCTTAGCTCAGGTCAGGTTCACACTTATGAGGGAGATGAATATGAATAATTTCACAATGGCGGCTTTCTGCCAGACATATAGAAGAGGATCCTCCGACTGATCAACTGAAAGGTTTCTCCACTAGAAAACATATGAAAAATAGAACTGACTTGTTGCATTTTGACACATGTTTCGGGCCAAACACCTATAAATCACATTTCTGAAGAAATTGAGGGGGGTACAAACCATTTTTCTATGAGTACAATATTGCCAATTGTAGCCCCACTAGCGCGTAAATGCGTTCGTAATTTCGCAAATCCGTTTGTTGAATATCATAGCATCTGGGATAAAGATTGTCTCCCTTTCGTTGTAGGTGACTTGTAGTAACAGTGTATTAAATATATTACCTCCCTTTATGAGAACTTTGTTATACAAAGCAGGATTCTGTTTATCCTATAGCCTGTAGTCAATATATTATCTTTTTAGCTAAAAACTCGTGCTTGAGTCTTGCTTGAGTCTTGCTTGAGTCTTGTCTGAGTCTTGTTTAAGTCTTGTCTGAGTCTTGTTTGAGTCTTGTGTGAGTCTTGTTTGAGTCTTGTTTGAGGTAGCATCCGAAGCCTAGGTTCATGGAACGCAGTTTTAAGAGAAACATAGTTTTTCAAAGCAATTGCAGTTTTATTAGGAATCAGCAATTTTTCTCCTAGTGATATGAATAAATTGTAGTAATTTTTGCAATTTATAAAAATTGCTCCCGTTTATTTCAGTTGACGTATTTTGTGGAAGAGGAATTCCTGGAACCACGAGTTGAATTTATCAAGAAATTGGCCAACTACATCAGTAACCTGAAATCATTTACTACAGACTACAATCTGGGAGAGTATATCTTAGATGACGAACTTTAAACTGGTTACCATACTGCAACACTTACTTACTGCATCTAGTTTCATTATTCCTCTTTTCCCACCAACATCTGTGGTTCATGATATTCCATATTGTAACGCCTTATTACTGTAATTGAGGCTTTTATTGCTCTGTAACCATTCATATACCATTTTATACTGGGAAAATATTGCCCGTATTTGTATCATTCCCCTTTTCCAACCAACATCTGTGGTTTCTATTATTCCAGAGACAATTCGACGTTTTAGCGATAATCACATCGCCATCTTGTGATGTTTTGTTTTTTTGGAATCACATAGACCATAGACACTGGGGCATGGGATTGATCCACAATTCCCATTCAATGTATGTGGTTCAGATAACTTTAGAACAACATGTCGCTACCAGAGTACGATATAATCTGGCTATTCTAGAATCACAGGGACAACAAACATATAACGGGAAAATTGGATTGCCGTAAAAAGAAGCTAAAGGTTTCCATAGTACATACATATTTTTTTTGAATGCCTTTTTACACCCGATATGGAAAAAACTCACACCATACTGGACATTCCAGTCTACAAATTTCGTAACGGGCACCTGTTAGATATTGTGTTTCTGTGAAATTTGTCAATCAATCGATTATGCTTTAAGGATGCATTACGGGTCGTATAAGAAAGTAGGTGAGTTTTTTCCATGTCACGTGATAAATTCCTGATATTATAATCTCTTATATAAAATACTCTATAATGAATTCATGTGATGTAGTAATAGTATCAAATATAGGTACTGAAAAACAAGTTCGTTTTTTGTGACTCTTTGGACCCCAACCTCTTTCCCCTCTCTAGCTGAAGCTATCGTATGAATTTAGAAATCATTGGGCTAACTTGTGAAGTTTGTACAAAATGTATGCCATGTATCCCTACAGGGTACTGGTACCCAGTAACGTTTTTAGGTGGGGCAGGGCGGTGATGCTCCACCCTCCTCCCCTTCCTTAGACATTTGGTTGGACGGACCTTTCCCCCGCCCCCTCCCACAGTAATAATTTTTTGTTATCCCTGAGTTCATAGAAACGCCTCAGTTTGAGAACAGGCTCTTGATTTCAACCAAGTCTAGGACTTGGATTCACAATAATCACGACAAGATCTTCATAGACCTAGAACATTCTGGTATTCTTGATTAGATTTTCCATAACTTAACCAACAAGATTAGTACCAAGAGGTTTGGTCAAGCACCAGCTGGTAAAAGGATACCAAATAGTGAACCCAGGGTTGTTATCCTTGTAAAATATAGTTGTTTCGTTCTCTCTGTCTTGGTGAGATACCTTAATAAGAAGCCTTAGAAGCCTTACACCATTCTTTAAAAAATAATCAGTCCAGTAAGCTGCGAAACAACAGAAGGCACTTGAAACTTTTTTTTATTTAACTAGCTTGACTAAACGTAAAATTGACACGATCGTTGTAGATTTATTTACCTAATAGTGTTATAAAAATACTAAATAAACATTATTATTCTTGTGAGTGGGATGCTGAATTGACATACTTAAAAAAAAGCAAGAAAAAAATATGCATTGACGACGCCCTGACGGAATTGCTTGTCAATGATATTTCTGCGAAAAAGGGAGGGGGGGGGGGGGGACAAGTGGCCACAGAATTGTCACGAAGGAGCTCACAAGATAATTATTTCCCTTTGTAGCTTCAAGAGATGAAGAGTATAAATACCAAATACATACCTTAAGCTTTGTAGACCCTCACTCTCTGGAAAGGATACTTTATTCTTAAACCATCAGGTGTTCTG